CAAAACGATCATTTTTTTAATATGAAGTATTTTGTTTGCAATAAAATTCGGAATTATTTCTAAGCAAGAGATGAGCTTGTCAAATACATAAAAATTAGTTCTTACATAAAAATTAATTCCTACTATAAAATTTAATGCGACAAGTAAACTCGATGTTTCAGTGCCATCCAGGTATACCTTCTTCAAAGAGTATTATTATTCAGAAATAGCCAAGCATGAATAAGGTCAGACACATGATCAATTYTTTACCCAAATGTTCGAAAGTTAATTCAAGTTTCCACTTTCCAAGGTTCGAGGYTCGAGCCATTGAAAGCAATATCGCACCTRTTTATTTTCATGTAGACATACTTTGCAAACGGTAAGTTAGCTGTAGTCTTATTCAAATTYTCTACGCCATTTTAATCTTAAAACGAAGAAAAKAATGGAAATTTGCAATKGCAACATTCTCTTGWGCTTTCCTTTACATCTTTGCAAGATTTACGTGCAAGAATCCGTTGTCAGAGTGTCGACGCTATCTCGTTTAGAACTCGAAAAAGGCATTTCGAATGTTGTTGTTTCCTCAAAAGACATCCTAATCTTCTCATACAAGAAAACCCTTAGAATTAACTTCTACCAGCTTCAAATGTTCATATTTATTAATAATTCTGAACATTCTTTTGATTTTCAAGTTGTTCACAGTTCTGATCAGCGAAAATGTCTTCTCGAAGTAGTCACTTGATGCACATTGTCGCCATTTTCCAATTTTTCGTCTTGACATGTAGTAGACATGACAGCAAGTGGGCTCGGTTACCAAACCTAGTGGAATCTCAACATATAACGAACCAGTCCCTCGAGGCTTGTACTGGTAAATTAAAATGTCGATAATRATCCATAATAATTGATTGCCGAGAACGAAGGCTACAAGGCATATAGCTATTTCCAAAAGGTTGTCGGATAAAATGGCGAATGTCAATGGACGAACGAGACGAACGGCGATTGCACGACCGAAAGTAGCCATGGGTTTTGCTTTTTGAAATGAAATAACAACTGATTTGTACTTTAAGAAGGTCTGCTGTAAACATTGGCTCCATTTAGTCTCCATATATTTGTATGTAAGGCGAATCCAATGAGTGAAATTATCAAAACAGTGCAACCATAGTCCCTTCGGTCGTGCAATCTCCATTCGACAATTGCCGTTCGTCGTTCTCCCCGTAAACGTTTTTTGAAATAGCTGTATACATCCCAAGGGCCGTAGTCCCGAGTAATGCACTTATATGCCTTATAGTCGACGTTATAGGTAAGTAAGTAATTTATTGTGTAAATGAAAAGGTTTTAAACTAATGCTATATTTTCATTTGTTTTTCTGTGAGTCGCACGGCTCCAGCGAAATGAGAATTGGTATATTAAGGCCTAGCTGGTTTTTCCCAGATTTTCAATAAAACTCAATTAATTCATTAGTCTTTCTAAAAACCATTAATCAATTGGTTTAATGTATCATCAATTTCAGCAAAAACAAAGTAACCTTTATTTACTTCTTTTTTAACTTCGGGGGTGTGTCACGTGACAAGATAAATCCGTTATTTGGCTTGAAATTTTCAATTCAAAATGGGGAATAAAATGTCTTCTTCGATTTACATGTTTGATATACCGTTTTGTTGCTTTTTATGAGATTTTTNTTTGATGTAATTGAGCCGTTCTGAGGTTATGGTCAGCGGTGCTGCAGCGAAATCTGCTTTCTAAAAAATTACATTTAGAGTTATACATTACTTTACTCTACGGATGAATATGATCATAATTAGTCTAGATAGCAAGCACGGAATGATGTGCGAGTTTTAAAACAAAAGATTGTTAAGTATAAGTAACAAAACAATACATGACTTTCAAAAACGGAGGTTGTCACGACCGCCAATATTGGGGGACTAGTGACGAATCATGGATCGGAATGAGACTTGAAAGGCCTTCCATCTATAAATCACTGCCAATACTGCATGTATGTAGTGTCCAAAAGATAAATTYATAACAAAACACTCTTGCAAGACACCATCGAATTTTACTTCACGAACACTGGCCTTTGAGACATCGTTTAGGTGCTTCGCTTCATCCCCAGTGCCCTGGTCGGCGACCGTGACATATCGCGCCATTTTTGAAAGTCGTGAATAACACTGGTCTCTTAATGATACCATGATATACTAACATTATTTATAATCTCTCCAACAACACCATTATACGTTCCATTTTTGAGTGTCCCGTACTGTCCATCTGGAGGCTCCACAAGTTGGTATTTGAAATGCAGAGTTTTGGCCAATAGTTCTACTAGATCGACGCTGTAGCCTTCTTTCTTTTCCAGACCAGTTTTTGGGTCTTTTGTAACAATTAGAAACGGTGGATCCTGATCAAGACAAATTTTGTGTTCTCATGACTAAGTTAATACTGCACAATACAGCACGCTTGGCTACACAAAAGTGTGCAAATCGAGAATCCCCTAATGATGTGGRCGAGATGTACCACGGGATTGACAAACCACGAACTTTGTCATGTTGTACTGTTTTTTTTTTTTTTCAAAGAAAACTAAAAGCATAAAGGTATTTCCCAAACATCAACATACCCAACCTATGACGTCATTAGAGGTAAAGACAATATGTACCTTGATTTACTTACCCTTATAACGAGTATTTTCAGCTTTCTATTGAGCTTCTCGAGTGGAACGGTTTCAGTGGACTCTCTATTTTGTTCTGCTTTTCTGGTAATTTGAAGTCCTGTATTGGTCCATTCTCCTATCTGAAAATAGATTCKCGGTTTTGTCATACTGTGATTATCTTGCACAAGATGYGGAAAAAACTTTATTCGAGATATTCATATKCTGCAGGAAATATAAAAGAGTACTGTTTCCCATTGGTTGTAAGTGAATAATAAAAACAACTAAATAACAAGTAGTTTAATTAATAACGTGTCAATCGCTTTAGCCAGACAACAAGTGTCGTACTTGAATTGGAGAGAATTAGGACCCACACTAACTGCCTCAACATTGACGATTTTAGCAATACGACACTCCTCAAAGCTAGTTTTTACGGCGGGACGTACAAATCATCAATGAATTGGATGTGCAAAAAGAAGAAACATATAAACTGGACAGCAGCATCATCAGGAGAGTGAACATTTATGTAATTTATAGATAAGATACTGAATATAGTACTATGTACTTATTGACTGAGTGGGAGGGCCGTAAGGGAAAATATTTGGCTCGAGGTTATGCCGTACGGAACGAGCACAGCGAGGTCCGTACAAATGACCGAGAGCCAAATATTTTCCCGTACGGCCCGACCTAACTCAGTCAATAAGCATTTTATCATATGACAGCGTTTTTTTTTTAAATGTAAAAAAAAGAATAAATAAAAGCGCGCAGAACTTCAAGCCGGGAAAATACGGGTTTGTACGAACCTGTCGCGAAAAGGCTTACGGACCCCATCACGTGACCGTTTTCCAAAGGTTTCAGCGAGAGCGCGCGTAGGGCCGAAATACGGGTCATATGATAATTATCCTTCTGTAATTTATACTTATGTTTTATTGAGCTTACCTTCACAAATGTGTGTTGCCTTAAGTTCATTAATTCCAAATGTAGTGCTTTACGATCGCCCGTACCATTAAACATAATTGTCCCTGTGCTGCCTAAAATGTTCACCTTTGGGTCATAAATAATCATTATTACTTCTTGATATCGAATCGATCGTATAAATATAATTATCACTAGTAACCTTTATCATGTTCTTTAATATGTTTCGTCCATTTTTCGTTGCCTCCACATTGATGACCTTYGTCTCTGGCAAATACTCGCCATTTTTGATGACTTTATCCAGAGCATGCGCAAAGGTTAATACTGAGTCA